ACCTCCCCATATCTCCCCATATCTCGCGCACGCCTCCTGGGTGACCCTCGTGACGTTGAGCTTGGCCTTGTCGAGCTTGTCGGCGCTCATGGCCTGGGGCGGGCGGAGAGGCGCAACATATGGGCGGCGGCGGGGATGGGTGGGTGGGTGGGCGCGGGGATGGGTGGGTGGGTGGGGGGAGGCGTCCCGCCAGAGGCGAGGGGAGTGCGGCCCGCCACCTTGAGCTTGTCTCCGAGGTTCTTTGACACGGTGATCACCGTGCCCGGGAAGTCCGGCGGTTCGCCAGTCTCAAAGTTTGCGAGGTGGAGCGCGTGCGCGTCGGCGGAGTCGCTGGGAAGGACCACGCCCCACCCGTCCACCTGCGAGGGGCGAGTCGCGCCTCACCTCAGCTAGCACACCGGCGGCGAGAGACTCTGTGATGCTGCCTGCGTCTCTCCGAGCTTATCGCGAAGGTGCTCGTAGAGCGACGAATCGTCGCACGCGCCGAAATTGACGACGAGCAGCGTGAAGGGCCCGCCCTCGGGCGCATTGTCGAAAACGCAGCCGCTCTTTGCCTGCCACTTGTGGATCCCCGTGGGAAGCTGGAAAGCCTCTGCGGGCGTCTGGGCCGCGATCGGCCACGCGGTGCCGACGATCCACAGGCCGTCGCCTTCTACGTTGTCCGGGAGCAGGCTGACAGCGAGTTCGCCGCCGGGTCTCGCCGCCGCGCACGCGCCGAGGGTGGCGAGCGCGAGCAAATCTCTCAGCAAACGTCTCAGCATCAGCAACACGCTGGGTGACAGCAGGGCGCCGTCGAGAGGGTGCTGAACGCGGCGATTCGTCTTTCTTTTGTTGTTTTGTTTAAATTCTTTTTTTGAGGCCTTCGATGGAGGGAAAACAAAGCTGCAAGGCGGACATGGCATATCGCTCTCGGGCCCACAGACATCCCGCACACCCGCCGCCCCCGCGCGCGCCCCACCCCGGCCGGGAGAAAGGGGAGTGACAGCTTGGGACGGCAACAGAACGAGGCAGGCGAGAGTACTCGTCCGAATTCCAGTTTTCATAATTCTCACCCTACTATACTACAAGTACCTTGCACTCCATGTGCAAGAACGCAGAGAGAAATGAAAGCCGTCCGGCCCCCAAGTCCGGCTCACGCGCCCGGAGCTGACCCTCTACCGCACTGATCACTTCCGCCCCCTCGCTCCCAGCCCATCCACCTCGCCGAGTCCGGAGAGCCCACCTGCCTGGGTCAGTCAGGCTGCTATACGGAAGCAGCTGCGTGGGCTGAGGGCAGCACAGGGGGTGGAGCGCACGGCGGCGCGTGAGCAGCAGATAGGAGAGCTTTGAGATCGAACTCGAAGAGCGTGAGCGCAAGTATCGAAAGTATGGCCGTTGGTAAGTTCTGTGAATGAACCATGCACATGGTGCAAAGTGGCACTGGTTTTATGTTATTCCGGGCTGCATGACCCCTGAGACCGGCGCTCGTATGCAGCCACAGCGTCGGGTCGTATCGTTGGCGACTACTCGGAGCTGCGCAGCGGCTACGTTGCGCCGTATCCGAGTTACCCCTGGATAGCTTAGGTCGCTCGCGCGACCTCTCCTGGATGCGCAAGGGGCCCATAGGGGTCACGCGGAGGGAGGCGCTGTTAGCGGCGGAGGAGGCGAAGGCGGCCGCGCGGGCGGCGGAGAAGGCGGCGCGGGCAGCGGAGGGGGGGAAGGGCGGCGGCAGCGGGCGGCAGTCCCGCGAGGCACGCCGGCGGAAGGGTTCGTCTTCGCGGGGCGGGGTGCGCACTGCGCGCCGCGAGGATGAGGAGCCTGAGCCAGGGGAGGGTTGGGAAGGGGGGGCGAGGCCGGAGGAGTATGACGGCCTCTTCGACGGCCCATAAGGGGCCGTTGTCTGCTGTGCCTTTTGTGGTGCTAGTTCGTGCCAGTCTGCTGTGAGAGGGGCTTGATTCGTAGAATTCTTTCTTGCCGGCATAATTATGTTCAATTTTACGAAAAAGAGTTCAATAACCGCCTCTCACAAAAGACCACACCGACTGGCACCACACAAATGGCATAGCACACTAGCATTTTTGTGAAACTTCCTTTTAAAAGCCAGGAAAAAGAAAAAGCTGCGCCATGTACCCCTCAATCCGACGGTCGTGGCTTGTTGGCTCACCCCACCCAAGGCTTCTCGCTCATGATCCCGTTCGCCTATTCTCGCCTCCTATCCCTCTTCTTTGCCTCGCCGAAGGAGGACAGCTCGCCACACAAAGAGGACGGCCCGGCGGCTGGCTACTCGTACCCTCTGCTCTCCGACTGGGCGCGCTCGATCACCCTCGGCAACGCCGCGCTCTTTCGCTTCTGGTTCTCGTATCTCCTCGAGCCGTTCAGATCCCTTCCAGTCGAGCTGTATGATGAGCAGGCGCTCGCGCAGCGGATGGCCAAGGGCGAGGCGATCGACCTCACCCTCCCGGCGTCGTACCCCAAGCTCTACGCCTCCGGCCTGTCCAAGCTGAACGCCTACATCGGCAGCCTCTGCCACGGCGTGCCCGCCGAGCCGATGACCAAGCAGTACCTCTTCTGGCTCGCGCGGGGCACCACCGTCGTGGCGGCCTGCTGCGGCTCCTTCGCCTCCCTCCTCCTCGCCTCGCTACTCCAGTTTTTGTTTCTGCCGTACAGCACGTTTGTCGCCATCACCATGCTCGGCGGCACGAGGGCGGCACCTTACTACGAAGACTGGAGGAACACTTTCTTCGACAACGACACCGAGAGCATCACCATCTTTTGCATCTGCGTCTTCTGTTTCCTGCTGCCTTTCGTGCTGAGGCTGTTCGTGATGGGCAAGAACGGCCGTCAAGACCTGGTTGGGCACGTCAAGGCGACTTTCTTCCACAACTACTTCCCGAGCATGTGGCGCTCCTTGAAACGAGGCATGTACATCGAGTGGCACAAAGTGCCCACGGTCTCCGAACTCTTACGCGACGCTCCCCCACTGCCAAAGATCCGCGAGGAACGCGCGGAGGGGATGCAGTGTCGCGAGATCGGACCCTTTTGCAGCGTGACCGAGGCCGAGATCCGCGATCACTTCCCCCACGACGCCATCGCGGCCGACCAGGCCGTGCTCATCCTCAAGCTGGCCACGTCGCTGCTGGGCTTCGGCCACTGCACGACCGACGCGGAGGCTCTCGTGCTGCACGCGGCGCTCGCGCTCGAGGTGCCCTCGCCCTTCATCCGCATCGGCCACCGCGAGGTGACGTGTCGCTTTGGCGCGGGCCCCGTCCTCATCGTGCCGTGCGACCGCGACTTTGTCTTCTCTTCCTTGGCGGACATGAACTCCCTCGCCATCGCGATTCAAGTCGGCGAGGCCACCAGCGCTCTACGCGCGCTGTACGTCGCCGATGAGCTTCTGGATCGCCAGCTGCCGTACGCACCCGCCATTGAACGTAGCCATTCGTCACACACGTCTTCGCCGCGCGCCGCTTACGATTAGGGGCACCGCCCCGCCGCCCACCTCCCCCCCCACCCACCCCTCCCACCACCAGTCAACCCATCGCCCCCGCCGTCCATATGCACCGGCCCCCATCCCCGCACCCGCCCCCCTCCCCCAGCGTCCCCGCCGCCGCCCACCCGCCAACTGGCTGCATCGGCACAGATACGGTTGGCTCGTCTTCAACATCGTCTTCTGGCTGATCGGCCCTACCGCCGCGCTCACAGCCTACTGTAAGAGCCGCCCAAACGGCCCTCTCCTCCTCTAGCACCTCCAAACACCCTCCAGCAAACACCCTCCAGCGCCTCCCCTGCCCCCGCCCCTGCCCCCGTCCCTCCGCCCCCCTTGTCACCTCCACCACATTTTGGCTCCCGTCCGGCCGGTCCCGTGTGGACTGCTCCCGGCCGGCCGTGTGGCAGTTGGTACGTGGTGGGACGTGCTCGGCGCCGCATGCATCTCGCCCGCCACCATGCTCGTGATGAAGATCTGCAAGACGTTCGACATCGGCCGGTTCGAAGGGATGCTTGTCCCGTGGTTCCTCGGCATGTGGACGCCCGTCGTGTGGCGCCACGTCTCCAACGGCGGGCAGGACATCTGCCATGTGCTGCCGCAGCTCATCGGGCCCGTTCTGATCCATCTGGTTCGTCGCGCACCACGTCGCATGCCCACGTGCCCTGCGCACACACGCGCGCGCCACGACGCGCCCAGCACAACATGAGAGCACACCACACCCCGCGGCGCCCAGCACAACGCACACCAGGTGCGCGCCCACCCTTTTTGACGCCTCCCCATGTCCCGCCGCGTGCACACAGCCTGGCGCACAGCTCGTCTGGGGGACCCTCGAGATGTGTCAGGGCGCGCTCATCCACGGCTCCGCGCGGCTCATCTTCGGCGCGATCCAGGCGCAGCTCCTCGCCATCTTCATCGTCATCGGGTGGCAGTTCTGGGGGCAGGGCTTCGCGGTGGGCGCGCCGGTGGACGCAACGTGTCCGCAGGCGTGCATCCAGGCGTACCGCAATGGGGACGAGTTCCCCACCGACCTGGACTGCGCGTCCGACTGCGGGTCCATGGAGACCATCACCCCCGGCGTCCCGGCCAACCTTCCCGACACGGCGTGGTGCAGCGACCCGTCGCTTGCGGGCTTCGACGCGTCGGTCATGGGCGAATGGTTCACGTGGTACCTGTCCACGGCCGTCTTCAACATCCCGCTCAACATCCTCTGCCTCGTCAACGTGTACATCCGCCCGCGCGACCTGTTCGGCCCCTTCATGACCGGCCAGGTGGGCCTGCTCATGCTCGGCTACCTCCAGTTCCAGTGCACCGCGACGACGTGCGTGCTGCCGGGGGTGATGCAGAACGGCATCGCCGCCTTCGCCGCCACCTCGACGGCCATGCTCAACGAGCTCCTCACCGGCCTCCCCTCCGCGGTCTCGGTCATCCCGGTCCTCTTCATCTTCGCCCCCGGATCGGCCGCCGTCCTCACCGGCATCGCGAGCATCTCCGCGGATGCCGGTGGCAAGGAAGTCAACTCGAAGACCCTGTGGGGATCGATTGTGGTGGAGTCCGTCTCGTACATGGTGGTGCGTTCCCCGCCCCACCCCCTGTCCTCGCGCCCCTCTCCTTGCCCCACTTTTTGCGGTCTCCCCGCTGTCCCCCCTGTTGCTGGTCTTCCGTCCGTCCGTCCTCGCCCCTGGCTGTCGTCTGCCTCTACCGGCGCCGTTTTTTTGTGCCTTCGCGTCTTTCCCCCTCTGGGGCCTCTCGTTGCGGGCGGCTTGTCACCTGCCACTCGGCCGGTAACATCCCCAAAACGGCATTCTTTACTTCTCATTTGATGGATTGGCTGCTAC